AAGCTCTGAGCCGCCTCTCTAGCCCTATACTCTTCAATTTCTAAAAGTTACCAGTCAAATAAACCTCTTTTCTTTTTAAAGTTCAAGAAAGTTCCAGAAACAAACAAACAAACAAACAAACCCAGAAGACATGCCAACTTCTATTTTGGTTATGTATTCATTTTAACAGTGCCTTTTAGGTATTCTTTGACAATTCACACCTGTAAACAATGTACCTTGTTCACATCCACTTCCAAGTCCCCCTTATTCTCCCAAGGCACCTCTAACATGCCCCCCTTCCCACTTCATGCCTTCTCATCCTCCCCTCCTCTTCCCTCTGTAACCCACTGAGTTCAAGTGGTGCTGCCTGTTGTAATGTTGACTGATCTCGTTGGTTTCGTCCTATGCATGTCTGTGCAGGTAACAACAGCTACAATGACTTCATGAGTTGCAGTGGCCACATCAAAGTCAGCATTTCATAGCTCTCCTCCTCATCCTTCAGTTTTTAGTCTTTCCACCCTCTCTTCTGTGATGTTGCCTAAGCTTTATCATGCTGGATATGGGGGTGCAGCTGAAACAGATATCTCATTAGGGTCAAACACAAGATACCCACTCATTCTTAGCATTTTAACAGTTGTGGGTTTCTGTATTAGCTGCTAACCACTACTGAGAGAAGCTTTCCTGACCAAGGCTGAAGGTAGCACTAATCTACAAGAATAAATGTAAATATTTAGAAGGCAGTTTGACAACATGCCCATTTATCAATACAACAGCATTAGGTTCTACTCTAGGACCTATGACTTCCAAGCCACAGATTTTGATCAAGCTTACTTGTATTCAAGGCATGACTTCCTTCCTGTGGAACAAGCCTCAAAGCCAAATTAGTTGTTTATTCCCATAACCTTCCAACCAATGTTGCACCAGTGGACATAGCTGGCCTGGCAGGTTAGTATTGTGGCATGTAAACTTTCTCACTGGCTAATAGCATGGATAGCTTTTACACCTCCACCTTAAATAGGAACCAGAAAGTAAGTAGTAAATCCAGTTGTTGACTAACTAGCTGACATTTTAATGTATTTACTGGACTGAGAATGAAAGTTGTAGTAATTAAGGTTTCCATTCCTATGAGGAGCTGAACATGCAGGATGAAACAGGCGAATTCCTGCTCCCACTGTGTTCACCAAAGAAAACTGCTGAGCAATGAGGCAATCCAATATGATGAATAAATACATTTACAAAAAGGTAAACTCTATTCAAGTAACATCCACAAAGCAAGCCCCTTACTTTAAGGGGAAGATTTAAAATAAGGAAATAAACACCTTGAAAAATTAATGCAATCTTGAAATGAGAATTTTCTTACAGATATACTTTAATAGAATTTAATAGAATTGTGTTATAACTATTTTATATTATTAAGACATTATAAGTATGGTGACTTGAATGAGAAATATCTACTTATAGGTTTGCATACATAGTCTCCAGCTGGAAGCACTATTTGGGGAAGATTCTGGAATCTTTAAGATGGTGGAATCTTGCCAGATGGAAGTAGGTCAAAGGGGTGGCTATACTGGCTGTGTCAATTTGACACAAGCTAGAGTCACCAGAGACAAAGGAGGAAATGCCTTCATGAGATCCAGCTTAAGGCATTTTCTCAGTAAGTGATCATTTGGGAGGGCCCAGCCCTTTGTGGGTGCTGTCATCCCTGGGCTGGTGGTCCTGCCTATAAGAAAGCAGGCTAAGCAGGGAAACAAGCCAGTAAGCATCTCCCTTTCATGACTTCTGCCTCAGCTCCTGCCTCCAAGTTCCTGTCCTGTTTGAGTCCCTGTCCTGACTTCCTTTGCTGATGTATAGCAATGTGGAAGTGTAAGCTGAATAAACCTGTTCCCTTCCAACTTGCTTTTTGGTAATGCTGTTTTGTTGTGGCAATAGAAACCCTAGCTAAAACAAGTTGATACCAGCAGAGTGGGGTATGATTGTGACAGACCTGATCATGTTTTTGGGAGGATTGTGGAAGGACTTTAAGACTTCGGGCTAGAAAAGCCATTGAGTGTTGAGACTTCTGTGGGCTGTTCTTTAGGATCTGGGAAAATAAGAGTGTTGAGAGCTGTGCAGAAGATGGAGGCCTGGCTTGTGAGATGTCACTGGGAAATTTAAAGACTGTGTGGCTTTAATTTAAAGACAGTGGCTGTGAGGGTTTATAGCCTTACCCCACTTTCTGCCCTCTCTGTTTTCTTTGTGTGGAGGATGAAAATGTGATGAGCGAGCCCACTTCTCTGGCAGCCATGCCATGCTTCCCTGCCACTGTTAATTACAGCCCTCTGGAACCATAAGCTACCCACCCCCACCCCTTTTAAGGTTTTGAAACAGGGTTTCTCTGTCTAACACTGGCTGTCCTGGAACTAGTTCTGTAGACCAGGCTGGCCCTGAACTCACATAGATCTGCCTGCCTCTGCCTCCCGGGAGTGCTGGGATTAAAGGTGTGTGCCACCACCACCTGACCCTTATGTTGCTTTTGATCATATTTTTATCGCAGTAACAGAAAAGTAACAAACACAATGAGTCATAATAGACAGGTGGAGCACTACCATGATATATTTAGTTAAATTTTCAACCTGAGGATGGGCGAGACTCTGAGACAGTGTCTTTTTGTGGGTAAAAGACAATTTTCAACAAACACAGTCAACTACATTCAGTCAAGCCAAATAGAAATAGCTCCTTGTAGACACATTACAAACAAACCATGTGACATGAAAAACCAAACAAATATTTTAAGTAGGTAAAATGAAGCCAGAAGTGGTGGCACACACCTATAATCCTTGGACTTGGAAGACTAAAGCAGGAGGATCAGGACTTCTGGACCAGCCTGGGCTAAATAGCACCTGTCTCAAAAACACAAACCAAGAACAAAACACTTCAAATCCCCCAAACTAAAATGTACAAAAACAAACAAACCCACACACAGTATTTATTTTGTTCAGATGAACATTTATTTAGACCCCCAAAATTGTGAAATGCTAAATTAATGTATTTAATGTAGCCAAGAATATGCTAGAATTCAGAGTAATTGTGTAGAATCAAGGGCTGGGGAAACAGATGACAGATAGCACACACTCCACAAAGGTGGCTGGAAGCCTCAAGTCAGCCCAATGGACATGCTAAAGAGACAGAGGAGGAAGATCAAAGTTTCAAGTAGAAATGGGCAAAAAGAGAAGAAACTAAAAGTGAAGCCTTCAGGGCAGGGCACCTGGCCACAGGCGGAACTGAGAAGGCTGAGTTTTAAAGAGTGGTTTTTAAGCATTTGTTTATTTTTGGACTGAGATGCTGATGCCCTTTGATTCTTTCCACTTCTATTGAAAGTTTCCCCTCACCAATGTCTAGAATGAAACATTGTGCTGGGGGTCTATTGTGCACTTAAGAATAAACTTTTGTTAAAAAAAAAAAAAGTCATACAGTGGTTTATAGCCCATTGATTTTCACTGAACCATCTCTATTCCAGGTTAAATAAATTTCAGAATCCTGAAAAAACAAAACTTAGTATGTAATCATAACATTTTCAAGTATAAAATTCTAAGAGTCTATCACACAAACTCATGCTCGGCAGATGTAGTGGAGCTAACTGTTAAAGCATATGTTTTTGGGCAGGTGAGAGATGGTATCAATGGGGGAAAAGTATTCACTATACAAGCCCGATGACCTGAATCCATCCCCTGAACTCATAGTAGAAGGAGAGAAGTGGTTTCTGAGTTGTCCTCTGACTTCCACATTTGTGCTGTGGTACAGACACGGGATGGCAGATATGGTCCTGTACTCACACACATTCACCCAAATATACATCAGTAATAAACTAAACAATAAAAAAGCTGTGTGTAAGAGATAGGCTCTGGCCTATAGTCTCAACTCCTCTGGTGGCTGGTGCAGAGGATTCCATATTCAAGATAGCTCTAGGCTAAAGAATGAGTACCAAGCTAGCCCGGGCAACTTAGTGAGATCCTGTCTCAAAATGCAAAGGAGAGAGCAAGGGATGTAACTGTATTAAAATGCTTGCCCATCAAGTGTGACATTTTAAGTTAAATCTGCATTAATGCAAAAAGAAGTTAGAAACAGATATATAGTCCCTAGAAGATGAAAATTGTGGTTAGCTTGAGAACATAGAGGAAAGATTTGGTTAAGTATGTTGTTAAATTTGAACAGCTGTGATTTTATGAATCATCTTGTCGACTTCACCTTTACCAGTAACATTAAAAAAAATAAGATAAGGTAAAAATGGTAATTGCATACAAAACATTACAAGTTAGGTTTATCGGATAAAAATAATTTCAGAATTTAAAACACAAAATAATGTGGAATAGTAACAGTAACAAAAACATTTTCCATTAGTTTACTGGTGAATTTTTGATGTGAACATATTATAAAAAGCATGCAAGCCAGGGACTGTGACACAGGCCTTTGATGCCAGAACTTGGGAGGCAGAGGCAGGTGGATCTCTATGAGTTCAAGGCCAGCCTGACTTCTAAGAGTACATAGTGACTTCTGAGACAGCCAGAGCTACATAGTGAGATCTTGTCTATAAATAAATACAACAAAACAACAGCATCAAACAAACAAACAAAAAAAAAAACAAACAAAAAAACCCAAAATAAATGCATATCCTGGTGCACGCTGGAAACAGCTAGTAAAATTCACCATAACTCTCATTTATAAAGAAGAGACTGAAAAGGAAGGTTTACCAGCAGCTCCGGAGACTGCTGAGAGCATACTAGTACATTAAGGTTAAATGGCCATCATCGCTCATCACGGTATTGGGCCATTTCTCAAGAGTGCAGCCTGAAACACCAAGGAGGTTAGTGATGTCCAACTCTTCAAAAATTCATGGAAAAACACCAAAGGACACCGAGAGCATAAGAAACCTACTTATTTCTTGGTTAGAGACCAAACAGGTAAACAGAGGGTGTTGGGAATGTACCTCTAGGACTTCTAGGAATCTGTTAGGGCCCTCGGCAAGAGACTGCGGTCCTTTGTGTTGGCAAGAGTGGCACTCTTACTCCTAAAACAGGTGACTAAGTGCATTGCATCTAGGGGCAGAGAAACTTCTCACTTGAGGGGCATCAGGATTTGTGCGGGGTAGTTCATTCATAGAGCAGTCGCCTCCTGGCCTTGCACGGGGCCCGTGGAGAGCGGGGAGGGCCCTGCTCTTGGGGACTTGGAGGAGGAGATGGAGGCAGAGGCTGCAGTGGTGAGGTGGGGAAAGGTCCCAGCAGGTAGCTGTCCAAGTCCCAGATAAACCTTGGAGAACATGGCTCTGCATTAGGGGAGGGCACCTGAAGCTGTGGTTCCAGGATGAAGTTCTGAGGCCAAGGGCTGGGTATCCTGATGATGGAGGAAAGGAGTTCAGAGTCCTGATCAGCTGGAGCATCTGTCCAGGGTGACAGGAAGCCAGAGTCCTCATCCTCATCACAGGCGTCGTCTAGATAGGAATTGTCTAGGATGTACTCACAGATGGGTCCTTGCTGGGGGATGACGAGGTGGTCCTGGGGCACGTGCAGGAGAGCAGCTTCCTGTGGGCTGGTGGACGAAAACCCTGGCTGTCCGAGATGGGCGGAAGGCTGGAGGCCCTCGGGGACCAGGATGAAGGTGTGTCCCGGGAGCGACACTTGCATTACCGAGGTGGGCTCGGGCTCCAGCAGCAGGTCGACACCATCCAGCTGAAGTTGCATGGCACAGCCAGCGGCCAGGACCACGACGGAGGTGAGCGCTTCGCTGGCGGCCCCGGTGGGCGCTTCCAGGTCAGGAGACGCTGGGGGCTCATGGCGGCGGCGCTTGGCAGGGCTGGGTCCTTGTGGCTGCTGTGCCCAGCTGCAGGGGTCGGAGCTGGGGCTGCGGGGCCGCGCTCCCAACATGTTGGTGGTGCTGCGGGGCTGGCGAGGAGCGGGGTACAGCGCGAACAGGTGCGACGGTGCAAGCGGCGGAGCGGCTGCAGTCCCCGGCTCTGGGTGTCTGTGCTCCGCCTATTGCAGGGAAATCTGGATCTTGCGCACGCAAGGCCGGATACTACTAGATGCCAATCAATTTTGAAAAGATGAACCGGAACCCAGGTCAAGACGGAAAAGGTCAGGTTAGGCTGCACCTTTTGGAGCCTGTGTCCTGGAGGCTCCACCCATGAGTGTCGGGCTGACCAATAGCCTTCGCTGTAGTTGGGAAATACTTTTTTTGGCCTATAGGAGGCAGAACAGGTTGCTCCGCTACACTCTAGACCTATCCTCAATAGAATTTCAAGATGCCTCAGGATTAGAACTCCTATGGTTTCGGGGAGCCAAAGGATCGCTGAAAACCTTGTGCATCCCGCCCCCACCCCATCCCTCAGTTAAAAACGCCATTTGAAAATGCTGTAGCGGTTTTGTTTGTGTTTTTCTTCTTGTTTAGAGATTGGGTTACTAGGTTAGCGGGGGTCTGATGTGTGAAGTACTCACGCCTGAGATAATGCCTGTTTTTGTGCACCGGAAATTCCTCATTCTGGAGGCTGAGGTGAAAAGAATCTTGTCAAGATGAGCTGCAGGCAGACACATGGTCTCAAAAACAACAAAACAGTTTTGGTCCAGAGAGGGCTCACATCACAACAGTAGCGCAATTAAGTTATGAAGCAGCAACGAAATAATTTTACGGTGTGGGGGCGCTCACCACAACATGAGGAACTGTATTAAAGGGTCTCAGTATTAGAAAGGTTAGGAACCACTGCCCTAAACTAAATGGAAAATCCCCCTTCTCCAGCTTTAGAAAAGTGTTATTTATTTACTTTGGTTTTCTGTGTAGTCCTGGAACTGGCTTTGTAGACCAGGCAGGCTCAAGAGATCTGCCTGATTCTGCCTCCCCAATCTGGGATTAAAGGTGTGGGCTACCACTGCCTGTCCAAAAAGCACTTTAAAAACAGCAAAGTGGAACATTTGTGTAGATGCGTCCTGAATATCAAGGGCTACACTATAATTTATTATTTAAAATTATTTTTATTTTATAGGTATGGGTCTTCTGCCAGCATACATGTCTGGTACCACATGTATGTACTGCTTTGTGGCCACCAGGAGGGAGTACTGGATCCCCTACAATTGAGCCAGCAGTGTGGATGTTGGGAATCAAGCCTAAGTCTTCCGGAAGGAGCAACAAATACTTTTAAAGGCAAGTCTGTCTCTCCAGCCCCCTTTCCTCTTTTAAACTGTGTGTGTGTGTGTGTGTGTGTGTGTGTGTGTGTGTGTGTGTGTGAGTTGTGTGTGAATTCATACGTGAGTATTAATTTTGCATCATTTCTACCCATCTCTCTCTCTAACTGTTATGTCTCCCTCAAATTTATGACCTTTTCTTTAATTGTTACTTGTGTATCTTTATATATATGTATAAATACAGTCTGCTGATTCCATTTTGTGTTGCTTCCATGTTTAATTATGTAGGGCTGATCCCTGGGTTTGGATAAACTACTTGTGGGCTCATCCTGGAAGAAGACTGATTTTCTCTCTTTCAGCAGCCAGTTATTGCCTGAAGTCAACTGGTATTTTCACTGTACAGGCCTTGTTAAGGTGACCATAATTTTGAGATTTCAGGGTGTATAGATTTTTTTTTGTCATATGGAACATAATATCTCACAGCAGATGTCCTGGTACTCTGCCTTTACCTTTCTTTCTTCCTTCCTTCCTTCCTTTCTTCCCTCCTTCCTTCCCTCCTTCCTTTGTAAATATCTCTTTTTTATTAATTTATTTTTTACATTCCAATCCCAGTTCCCCCTCCCTCCTCTCTTCCCATCTGCTTCACAGAACAGGTAAGGCCCCCTCTTGGAAGTGTACTAAATCTGTCCCATCATCTGGTTGAGGCAGGGCCAAGGCAACTCTCCACCCCCACATCCCTGTGTCTAAGCTGAGCAAGGTATCTGTCCATATAGAATTGGCTCCACTAAGTCAGTGAGTGCATTAGATCTTGCGTCCACTGCCGGTGGCCTCATATAATGTCCCAGCCACACCATTGTCACCTATATTAAGGGAGTATAGTTTGGTCTCATGCAGGTTCCTCATTTGTCAGACCTGAGGCTGTGATCTTTTACCAGCTCAGGTCAGCTGATTCTGTGGGTTTCCCCATCATGGTCTTGACTCCTTTGTTAGTATTATTTTTCCTCCCTCACTTTGTTTGTACTCAAGGAGCTTGGCCCATTGGTTAGATGTAGATTTCTGCATCTGCTTCCATGTGTTTCTGGAAGAGGGTTCAAGCTTTTCTGGGGTTATGGATTGTAGGCTGGGCATCTTTTGCGTTATGTCTAGTATCCACTTATGAGTGAATACATACTATATTTATCTTTCTGGTTTTGGGTTACCTCACTTAGGATTTTTTTTCTATTTCTGTCCATTTGCCTGAGAATTTTAGGATGTCATTATTTCTTACTGCCGAGCAATACTCCTTGTGTAAATATATCACATTTTCTTTATCCATTCTTTAGTTGAGGGGCATCTAGGCTGTTTCCAAGATCTAGCTATTACAAATAATGTTGCTATGACCATAGCTGAGCAAATGTCCTTGTGGTGTGACTGTGCCTCTTTTGGGTATATGCCCAACAGTGGTATTGCAAGGTCTTGAGGTAGGCTGATCCCTAATTTTCTGAGAAATTGCCATACTGATTTCCACAGTGGCTGTATAAGTTTACATTCCCACCAGCAAGGGAGGAGTGTTCCCCTGTCTTCACATCCTCTCCAGCATAAGCTGTCATTAGTGTTTTTGATCTTAATCATTCTGATTGGTGTAGGATAGAATCTCAGAATAGTTTTGATTTGCATTTCACTGATGACTAAGGATGTTGAGCATTTTCTTAAGTGTTTTTCTGCCATTTGAGATTGTTCTGTTGAGAATTCTCTGTTTAGATCTGTACCCCATTTTGCATTTGGATTATTTGGTAGTTTGATTTCTAGTTTCTTGAGTTATTTGTATATTTTGGAGATCAGCTCTCTGTCAGAGATGGGGTGGTGAAGATCTTTTCCCATTCTGTAGGGAGCCGTTTTGTCTTGTCAACCATGTTCTTTGCTTTACAGAAGCTTCTCAGTTTCAGGCGGCCCCATTTGTTAATTGTTGCTCTCAATTGTGCTACTGGTGTTCTATTTAGGAAGTGGTCTCCTGTGCCTATGTATTCAAATGTATTTCCCACTTTCTCTTCTATGAGGTTCAGTGTAGATGAATTAATATTGAGGTCTTTGTTCCATTTGGACTTGAGTTTTGTGCATGGTGATAGATATGGATCTATTTTTATTCTTCTACATGTTGACAGCCTGTTATACCAGTAACATTTGTTGAATATGTTTTCTTTTATCCATTTTATATTTTTAGCTTCTTTGTCAAAAATTAGGTGCTCATAGATGCGTGGGTTGATACTAGTGTCTTAGATTCGATTCCATTGGTCCACCTGTCTTGTCTTTATGCCAATACCAAGCTGTTTTTGTTACTATAGCTCTATAGTAGAGCATGAAGTCAGGGGTGGTGATGTCCCCAGATGATTCTTTATTGTACAGGATTGTTTTGATTATCCTGGGTTTTTTGTTTTTCCATATGAAGTTGAGTATTGCTCTTTCAAGGTCTCTCTCTCTCTCTCTCTCTCTCTCTCTCTCTCTCTCTCTCTCTCTCTCTCTCTCCAGTGTTTCACCATGTATTACTTTCTGGCCTGGAACTCATTATGTGATTAGGCCAAAGATATCTGTCTACCTATGAATCCTGAGTGCTGGGATTAATGGCATGGACCACCATGCTTAGCTGGTTCTCAGAATCTTTTTGACCCCTCTTCCATGATGTTCCCTGGGCTTTTGTTGTAGGAGTTGTATTGTAGATCAATAACACTTGTATCAATTGGAGTTGAACACTGTCTGCTGCAAAGAGAAGCTTCTTTGATAAGGAGTAAGAGCTACATTTATCCTTGGATATAAAGGTAAGTATTTAGAATGCAGCCAGAAGTTATGCTGTTACAGGAAAGTGGCTATCCTCTAGGGTCTATTAGCCACGGTTAGGTGGCTAGGTTTACAGTATTACAGTGGATTTCCTCGTATGGAGCAGACTTTAAGTGGAATTACACAGCTGTTGGTTGCTACCAAGATACAAACACCATTGTTGTACCCTTTGGGGATATCTTGCCATGTTGGTCTCTGTTGTGGCTCATAAGCTTTATAGCTGGTTAGAACTATGGATTGCTTTTCTCAACTGGAAGCTTGCAAGGCACTTTTGAATGCTACAGGAGCTAACCTTAAGGAGATACCAGATCAGCTCCAGTTCAATTCCTGTGCCTACTAAAGTATGGATAATTTTTAGCAATTATATCTCACCTTCAAGTTGTTGGAGGCAACCAAGGGCAGTGGCAATCACCTATGTTATTTTTAGAGTCTCTTCCTTCCTCTTCATCAAAAACTTGGTGGGAGGTTTCTTATGCTTGGCACTGGGTGGGTGTTGTTAGGTAGTCTATACCTATCTGTAGGTTGTTTTTTGTTTTTGTTTTTGTTTTCCTGCTTTTTTCCCCAGGGCCAATTCAGTTAACTTTTGCTATCCAGGATTTAGGATATTCTGACCAAAATGTGTATGAGATTGATCATTTGTACCTAAAGAAATATAAATTCATAGCCAACTATAGTAGTATACACCTGTAATCCCAACACTTGGAAGGCTGGTGACATCCTAAAATTATTAGGATGTCATCCTCAAAGCCAGTCTAGGCCAAGAGAATTCTACAAATATTAATTGGTCTTGTCTGTGGTTAGGGAAATCTTAGTTTTTTAATTTAGCTTACACCAAAAAGTCAAAATTCCACTGTTTCCTTAATACCTTGACTCTACAGGGCCACAGAGTCTTTAGAGGCAATTGATATGTTAGGTTCCTGGCACAATTGTTGGAAAAA